ACCTCCATATGATTTTGAAAAACATTTGATCAAGTTATGAAAAGAAAACTCTCCACTGGGATTTTTACTCCCTGGAATAGTATTAAATGGATTAATTGATGAGGTCACATAAATTAATATTTTATCAAATCTTTATATTAGCAAAATGTCTAAAATTTTTACTTTTTTTTTTTAAACTTGATTTTATTTGTTCTTTCTTTCATATGGTGCTGAGGATTGAACCCAGGGCCTCTCACGTGTTAGGCAAGCACTCTACTACGAGCCACAATCCCAGCCCCCAAATTTTACTTTTGTATAATGTAAATCCTTTTCCCTATAAATGCTAAAAGATGTATCTTGTATTAGTTAAGAAAAAGGCAAAAAAATGTAAATGATGTGTTAAATTTGTTTTGTTTCAGATATGTTTTCTTCTTTTTGCCATTCTGTACATCGTTTCCTACTTCATCATCACAAGGTACAAGAGAAAATCAGGCAAGTACAAACATTTTTTGTTAAAGCTTTCATTATTGTGCCTCCTGGTCTCAGTGTGGTACATGGGCTCTCTGAGTACTTGTTAGTGTGGTAATGTATTGAATATGCCCATGGTTGAAGTAAACAGTGCCTGTTGAACTGGAGCACTAAAAATACCTTCCAGGGAATTTGATTACTGTTAGGATCACCTTTGGAGACCAGAGTCCTTGTTTATCACAATTCTTAGGCCCAGCTAAGAATAGTGCTGGGCTATTTAGTATCTGGGGAAATTCCAGAGTTTATGAGGCAGTTTGGTTCCTTGTGACTGGCTCTGACTTTGAATAGTCAGTTCAGTCCCACCTATCCTTTTCCAGCTACTAGAATATCTTTTTTTTTTTTTTCCTCTGAAGTACTCTAGAATTGATAGTCTCCATAATACTATTGGCATTCAGTTATCTACTATCCTTTTAGTACTTTATATTATCCTTACCTAGCTAGTGGGACCATGATATCTTTTCTTTGTTGTGATATTGGGGATTGAACCCAGGGCCTCTTGCATGCTAGACAAGTGCTGTACTATTGAGCTACAGCCTCAGTATCCCCTGCCCCCTCTAGTGAACTTTGTGCTAATTAAATTCACAGACTTTTAGGTCAGAATTTCACAAATACCTAAGCAACTGCCTTGCTGCTTTCTGACAAATCTTAGTTGTTTTCTGGGAATCATAATACTTTCAGCCTGTGATGCTGGGCTAATAGCAGGATTCCTTGTTTGATAGCAGGATTCCTTGTTTTAAGGATTCTTTGATATTATATTATCAATTTAAAAACCGTCGAACTTTTGAGAGACATAAGGAAACAGTTCTTTCTCTTGTGTATTACTTTAGTAGTATTACTTGACTCTGAACATACTGAAGTATTCCTAGATTCTGTAATTGGTCAAAATTTTGAAGATCTGCAAATCCGAGATAGTATCTTAGCTGTTTTAAAAGATATTTTGGCATAATTTCATAGATATGGGCACAGAAGGAGGGGGGAGTGAGTGAGTGAACATAAATATGTTATTTTAGGGGAGATCAGGGGAGATAAGAAGGAAAGTTAAGAGACTGAGAAAGGAAGATTTAAGAGACTTAATTTTTAGGGTACCCTGGATTTAGCAGGTGTTGGGAATAGAACTGAAGTGGGCATGGGTATATTAAAGTACCTTCCAAGACTTGATGATTGATTGGTTGTGTATAAACTAACTGTGACTATTGCATTGTGGTCCTTTTGGTTGTAAAGCTGTTTTGAGCAGCCTGGAATTAGGGATGGACACTGGAGTAACAGAAAGGCCCAAGTACACCATCAACACTGAGGTTTTAAAAGATATTTTAAAAGGCTGTGGTTTCCAAATTAGTTTAGAATGGTCTCATTCTCAATGAGAATCTCATTGCCATTATTAATGACAAACTCAAATTATAGAAAATTTGACGAGTTCTAAGATTATAAGTTTTAATTTTATAGTGAAAACTTTAGTTTACTGTTATCAGCCAGAAAATTTAATTCATTAGCTATTTCACTTAATATTCTTTGACAGTATGTTTCATACTGGCCCTCAGGTTCTACTAACTTTTATTTTCTTGAAGAGAAAATATTTGGGAAATTTAAATTTACATATGCAATCAGGATTTTAAAAAATACCACTGCCTTCTCTAATTGTATGCCATTCTGCCTGATTTAAATTCGGATCTTTGATGAAATAAACACAATGCTCTTTGAAAGTCTTTATTTCTATTTAGTAATTGCTTTTTCAAGTTTATGTTTTTGTTACATTTTTAAGTAAATTAGTGAAACATTTTGTTGAAAAAGGATACTAATACTTTAAACATTTTTGCAGATGAACAAGAAGATGAAGATGCCATAGTCAACAGGATTTCGTAAGTATTCTAAAATTCAGTTATTCTGTTTCTATTTCTGAAGTCAAATTCTGAAAATAATTCTGATTTTTGGACAAAAATACAGAGAAAAAATTACCTGATGTATTATAACACCTTTATCAATATATTTTAAAAATTCTTTTTAGTTGTAGATGGATGCAATACCTTCATTTATTTATTCATTTTTGTGGGGTGCTGAGGATCAAACCTGGTGTCTTATAAGTGCTAGGCAAGCATTCTACCACCGAGTCACAACCCCAGCCCACCTTTCTCAATATTAATCCTACCTTTGAAAAGCACATTTAAGCAAATATATATAAGCAGTTTTAAAATTTGCTTATTTAAGGAGATGCCAGATTTTATCTTCACAAGGTTTAATGAGAAAATGGACTTAAGTTTGGAGAAACTGCTGGGTTTAAGAAAGAAAACTCCAGCTGTTTGAATTGTCTGTGGGAAAGACTGTGACTATCTTGAAACAGGGAACAGATGTTTTCTGGTTAGTGGAGTGGGCACCTTCTATGACAGGGAGGTGGGCCCTGATTGTTCATCATAGCAAAAAGAGCCACTTCAGAACCACACATTGCATTTAGTCATCTTGTCCCTTTAGTCTTCCTCAGATTACAATCCTGGTCAGCATTTCCTCAGGTTTCCTGATCTTGATGCTTTTGAAGAGTACTGGTCACTTATTTGGTTTTGTCTGATGTCTCTTCATGACTACTATCAGATTATGCATCTTTGATAAGGGGAGAGGTGAGAGGGCAAGAAAAGGGGAAGAGGGAAAGAGATTACCTGTGCTTCCAATACATTCATACACGTGTACTAACATGTAGTCACATACTACAGAACAGTATTCAGCCATAAAAAGAGATGAAGGACTAATAGGTCTTGCAGTGTGGATTTCATATAGTGTGAATTTCACCTCAATGAAAGAGTTGTTTTAGCTAACAAAAGACTTGAATAGGCCAGATTTGATTCATAATTGAAAAATGAATATAAATGGATTCTGCCTTACTAGATTTGGCAATTTAAATTATTTCAAGTGTCCTAGGAAAGTTGGATAAGAAACAAAAATAATTGCAACTTCACTGTAGAGATTCTTTCCTTAGGCTCCAACTTAGGCCCTAAGCTTGATGTTTTAAATTTACAGGGTTAGGGGGTCTTAATTTTATTACTAACATTGTGATATTTGTCAAAATTTTTATCTAAATTAATGCTTCTGTAAAACTACAATTCACTTCACTACATCTAAAAAACAGTCATGAATCAGACTGAGTAAAGGGCAGATCTTCCTCCATGTGAAATCCTCTAGGTGTGAAGGGTAAGTGAAGTATGGGCCTTTCTCTTCATCATTTAGTCTGCACAACTTTGGTGGTAAATGTACTTAAATGCACTTCGAAATTAATAATTTATAAATTTAACAGAGCATATCACTTTGCCTTTTATCTGTAAAAGTGTGTTTAATGAGGATGCAACTGTGTCCTGTTTTCTTGTGAAACTGTCCACTAGCAGGCTTTACTTCCTTCCTCTGCTCCAGCGGGGCAGCTGCATAGCATGACAGTAGGTGGGGCTTTCCCACTAAGTAGTTTCTGTGTCCAGGTTTGTGCTGTATCCTGTTCCTAAAGGTGGATGGGTTTGCAGTTACAACAGAGTTAGGAGGGGGAAGCCTGGAGAGAGTCACTGGAGAGGATGAATGTTGTCTGGTCAACTCCCTTCCCCTGCATTGGTGATAAGAGTGAAAACGAAAACCAGAGAGTGAGGCTGGTATGCGTTCATAGTTTGCACCCAAAATTAACTTGCATCCAGAAGAGATGGAGAAGCAAAGATTGGCTTTCTCTATTTGTAAAGGAGGGCTTTCATTTCCTTTGTAGGATGTGAATTAAATAACATCGGCAAAACAACAACAACAAAAAAGGTTGCTTGTGGTGTAGCAGGTGGGATCAGTGTCACTCCCCTTTTCCCGTCTCGTCTCCCTTTTCCCTTGCCTTCCCTCCTCTCCCTGAAAGCAGTTGTGAGCAAGATAGAGAAGAACAGGAAGCTTAACTAGGACAAAAAAGGAGTTGAGACATGGTGTTGAGCACAGGTGAGGGTGACACCATTCTGTCCACGTGAGAGGGCTTTCCACGGCTGACTAAGCCTCTTATTGGCTTTTTTGACCCTTTTAGAGGCCACCTTTGGTTTCTCTTCTATTCCTGATATGCCTTTATTCCATGCTCTGTTTCTGTGTACTCAAAATCCTAAATTAACTTCCTCTGTCCTTTGTAACTCAGTGCATTTTTGAGAACTCTTCTCAACTAGGTATTTAATTTGATTTGAATTAATAGTTGATCCAACTATCAAGCAAAAAATTAAAAAAATAGGTGAGACTGCTTTTGCTGGCTGTGAGCCTGGGCAGGACAAGGAGGATGTCTGTGCTGGAGGGAAGTCTGGCATGTGTGTGTGTGTGTGTGTGTGTGTGTGTGTGTGTGTGTGTGTGTTTGTGTGTGTGTGTGTGTTGGAGCCTGGCTGGTGAGGTCAGCTGCATAGGTAAAGAGAGCTTCTGAGAAGGGGGTCCCTACAGGATGAGGAAGGTGTCTGTGCTTGTGGGAGTCTGGCTGGGGTGGTGGAATGATTCAAGGGGGAAGGAGGGTGTCTGTATGGCAGACAGTCTAGAGTGGGGGGCTCCATAAATAGGAGAGTGCTTGTCTGTACAGTTTGGGGATACTGTGATAGAAGATTGGTTGTTTGTGATGGCAAAGCCTGATTCCGTAAAGATAATGGGACGAACCAAGAACAATCGGAGGAAAAGGAAAAAATGGAAACAAATTACCAAGTTGTTGCCTTGGAATTGGAGGTTATCAGCGTAATTTCATGGTTTCCAGCATCTAGAGAGTTTAGAACTAAATATAGAAAATAAATATGGGTCTTTGTGTGCACATGTGTGTGCTCAGCACATGCTGCACTGCTCAGCTCTGTATGCCCTCTCAGGCGCCTGGAAGTGCCTTTCCCAGCATCAGTGAGCATTTCCAGCATGCCCAGAGATGGCGCCTACTGAGCAGAACGTTGCTTTTGGAGAAAGGTTGGGTTGCAGGCTGGGGTCAGGAAAGGCCCAGGCTAATTTTGTACATCTTTTTTTTTTTAATATTTATTTTTTAGTTGTAGTTGGACATAATACCTTTAATTAATTAATTAATTAATTAATGTGGTGCTGAGGATCGAACCCAGGGCCTTTCATGTGCTAGGCCACAATCCCAGCCCCTAATTTTATACATCTTATTGTAAAGAATCAAGTATCCAGAGAGTGATGGGCATATATGTTGAAGGAGGCAGAATCCTTCAGGGTTCTCATACCAAGTTAAAGGCAATTCAAGCAACAGCGTCAATCATTGTAATGGATCCTAATCCATTGAGTATAGTAGAATGGTTTTGAGTCCATACAGAAATCAGTAAGTGAATTAAATCGAAAGTTTCAACAAGAAGAACTAACCTTACACAGAATACTAATTAAAGGAAAGAGTAACTTTATGGTGGAGAACCCTGGCGGACACCACTTTGACCAGTGATCATAGACAACAGTGTTGGTAGAAGGGCAGACAGCAATTCCCAGCTACTCATAGCTATCGAAAGAAGCGTGGACACTTTTGTGATAGTCCTGCCAAACTCCATGTATCCACAACGGAATCCTCATTTCCCCTTCAGCCTGCTGTGCTTTGTAGCCTTCTGCATCTGAGGTACTGTCAGCTCCACCCTTTCAGTTCAGGCCCAAAGCCCCAGAGTCACCCTGATGCCTCTCCCTGTCCTCCATATTAGGCATCTATCTGTTCTGTCTTCAGGACCACACTGCCCATCTTACTGTCTTTATTGCTGCCATATCTGCTTCAGGAGCTTTCCAGTGAGTCTCCTTCTTCTGTCCTTGCTTCTGGTCAGAACATTAGCCAGATCATGCCCCCTTCTGCTCAGAGTTCTGGAGTAGCCACTCCTGCCCACTCAGAGTGCGAGCCAAAGTGCTCACCTGGCCCAAGACATTCCTCCATGGCCCTCTTGCCCTTCTCATTGCTGAAAGGCAGCCATATCTTGTGCTTTCCTTAAAAGGCTGGCCATGCCCAGCTTAGGGCTTTCAGACCTGTTTTGTCTTCCCAGAGTGCTTTTGTTGTCACCTGTCCCACTGAGCTTTCAACCCCTTCCATTTTGTTTTGCTTTGCCTTACCTTCCCCCTAAATTTTAGACAGCCAGCCTGCCTTTTCTTTTCTTTTCTTTCAACAGGAATTGAATTCAGGGGTACTTTACCACTGAGCCCCATCCCAAATCTATTTATTTTTTATTTTGTGACAGAATCTTGCTAACTTGGCTTCGTCTGTCTTCCTTTTAGTTTCTAGTCCTCTGTGCCTTGCATTATGTTTCTGTAGCATTTATGATTTTAATGTTATACAATTTCACATTTACTGTTTTATTGTTTATTATCTAACTTTCCCAACTGGATTCTAAGCTCATGAGGGCAAGAATGGTTGTTTTGTTCATTGTTGTAACATGCCTAGAACAGTCCTAGCACAGAACTTTAAACATATATATCTTTCTGGTGAATCAGTGTTACCAAAAAACTCACTGAGTCAGATACTCTGGGATATGTGTTTAAAAAAGCCTCATGGTGGTCCAGATGATGCTTCTCATTACTCCTTGGGGGTCCTGATGCTAGAGCTGGGTACTCCTTCTGTGGTGCTGATAGTACTGCTGCTCAGAATAACATGATTATTCTGACAATCACTGGTTAAAGAACCACTGATGTAGAGTGAGGGATGAGGGAGCCTAATTCATGCAGCATATATTTACTGATTAGCTAGACAAAGACTTAGGATGGAAGTAGTGCTCATCAACTTGAAATATCATGCAAGGTCAGGTTCAGATTGCAACTTAAAAGTATCTGATAGATTTGATCGTAAGGAGAACTTTTTCACTACTGTGGGGTTAGGGTTTAGATATGGAATGTCCACCAGCAGCTCGTGTGTTGAAGACTTGATTTCTACGGCAGCAATGTCCAGAGGTGGGGCTTTGGGGAAGTGAGTGGATAATGAGGGCTGTAACCCTATCAGTGGGTTACTCCATTTGATGGATAAATAATTTGAGTGGACTATGGGAGGTGGTCAAAAGTCTTGTCAGGTTGGGTACATTTGAAGGAAGTAAGTCGCTGGGGATATGCCCCAGGGGACTCTATCTGTCCCTGGCTCCTTCTTTTCTCTGGCTCACTCTGTCTGCTTCTAGCTGCCTTGAAGGAAACAGCTCTTCTCTATTTTGCCCTTCTACCATGATGTACCCTCACCTAGGGCCCAGGGCAATTGAGTTTGCCGTGGTGGACTGATAAATCTGTAACAATGAGCCAAAGTAGATCTTTCCCCTAAGTTGTTCTTGTCTGGTATTTTGGTCACAGTAATGAAAAGCTGACTAACATGTGGTGAGGAGTGGAAATCCTACTGCAATGTGTTAAGAAAAAAACTGATGTGGAAGTAAAGATGTAACTTGTATGTCCTTCTCAGGAAGCTTTTTGAAAGATCAGAAATCCCATAGGACGTTTCTATTCTGAGGATTAGGAGCTAGAGAAGGTGACATGGAAGGTTAAAGATGTCCAGCTGGTGAGGCAGGAGGCCTGTGGAGACAGTAGGGTGGAGAGCTCCCATATGGTAAGTGGTTTAGTCAGCTTTTGTGTTGTTGTGGCTAAAATACGTCATGGGAACAATTTAGAGGAGGGTAAGTTTTTTGGTTACAGAAGTCTTAGTCCATAGATGGGCATGTTCTGGGCCCAAGGTAAGGCAGAACATCTCGGGGGGAAGGACATGGCAGAGAGAAGCTGCTGCCCTCAAGGCAGCAAGTAACTAGGGAGAAGTGGGGGAAGGGGAGAGGGAGAAAAGGGGCTGCAGGGACAATGCATCCTGCCAGGGAAGACCCCTGTGACCCACTTTGTCAAGCCATGCCCCACCTGCCTACAGTTATCACCCCTTTAAACTAGGTTGGACTGGTCAGATCACAGTTCTTGCAATCCAGTCATTTCACATTCTTGCATTAATACAGGAGCTATTGGGGGATACCTCATATCCAAACAGTAACAGTATGGAAGGAGTTTACCCTTCTTTTCCCATTCTGAAAGAGAAGACTGTCATTTTCCAGGAATGAGGCACTGCAGGACCATGTCAGAAAGCTTGGAAAGAGCTTGAAGATTTGAAGATGTGGTCAAGAACGGGGGATTAGAGATCCAAGAGTCAAGGTTCTGGCTCTTGTTTGCCAACTGAAAGTATATGAAAGTTTTGTGGAGTGTTCAACTAAGTTGAAGTGGTCTTATTGTCTTAATTCATAATCACTGCACAAGATGTGGTCTGTGGACGACCAGCTGTCTTTACCCCCATTATATTCAACATCTCAGTGTCAGTCCTCACCACATTTTGGAGAGGAGGGGAGATTCTGCCTTTCTCATCGGATCAAGGAGATAGTAACAAATGTTAGATACTTGGGAAAACACTGGTCTTATCCCCTCCACTATCACAAAAGACGTATTACTCTAAAGATGTAATTTTTTTATTCTGCTGCATTTCAGAAGGACATTTCTGAAGTTTCTTCAATTCTGAAAGGCCTCTCTTCTTTAATTACATAAGTAGTGTGATATAAAGCACAGTGTTCTATGGTGCTTTTTCAACTTGGGGCCTTATTTTAAGGACCAGCTCTCTGCCAGCTTTAACTCTGTCACATGAACCTTTTATGAATAACTTTTTTATTCAGCTATATTCAGTGGCAGCAGCAGTGATTTTTAAAAAATATTTTTGTTATCTTTAGGGCCAATCACAACAATTAAAGTAATAGGCTCTAATAGTTTTTTATGAAAGATCAAGCATTATAGTTGTGATGATCAATTGTTCAGGAATTGTGGGTCTTCTTTGACTTTAAATAATTTGTTTGTCCCAGAAGCTGACTCCTTTTGTTAGATCACTGGTTATAGTTTTTGATTTGAAAACTGTGTTGGCCTTTATTGCCAGGTGTATGATGAGAGTATTACAGGAGTCAAGAGGGGAGAGGAGCTAATTTTCTGGAGTGGAGCAAGATGGTAGAAGCTAAGGAATGATTCTCAGGGCAGATGACATGTGAAGTCTGTTTTGAAATTTGTGCATGTCTTTCCATGTGGGTATGTGGAGTGTACTTTAAGGAGGGCGCAGGTGTGGATGCTAACAATGCAGTTTGATGTATAGGGAACGAGGTGGGTAGGGAAATCTAAGTGTATGCTGAAGTGTGTCCTGGTAAAGGCATCCTGAAAAGCACACAAGGAGAGCCAGTCCTGTAGAATTTGGATTTGATCTTAGCTTTGGCCTTGGTAGGAATGATGGCAGCTGGGCTAACATCCTCATTTTCCTAGAGAGGTTTGCTGGGATTACCACTAGAGCTGCCATCCACCCTAAGATGAAGACTTTGTCTAGAGTGTTTTTCTCAGGACATGTGCTGTCTACTCAGCAGAACCAGTTTGTAGCATTTCTCATGTGTTTTATCTGAATTATATGTTGGTATGTAACACATGTCCACATTTGAGGTTTTTGACATCAATTTACCAAACACAGCAGGTTTTCTGGGCACTTTGACTTTAACTAGGAATATATTTCACTTCTGTTTTTGGCCACAAGATGGCACTGACCTCAAAGTTACTTTAGTCAGTGTGTATTTTGAGCGTTTAGTATGATTCTATTTTGAATGTTAGTGAAGTTTTCTTTTCTTTTGCCATTATATTCTGTAAAAACTTTTTCCAAGTTAGGTATTTGATATAAAAAGTTTAAACATATCAGGAATAAGTGTAACTGAGAAAGCGAAAGCCCCTTGTAACTATATACCTCCCCATGGGTTATTATACAGTGTGTGGACTTTTTATGTCTCTTTTTTCTTGATTGCATATGTACATTTTGGGGGAATGGGGTGGGGAGAGCATGTTTTATATTTATTGTTCATGCTTTTTTTTCCATTTGTTTTGTTGACTTAATTTATTTTAGATTTTTTTTTACATTAGAGCTGTGTTTTATCTATTTTATCGATAGACTATTTTTTGAAAATAAAATTTATGAAATAGGTAACAATGTATAACTTCATTTATATTTGTGAGGTAGAAGGATTAATGCTTTTTCTTGTTCTTGATCATTTATAGTTCTTTTTTTTTGATTAACATATACTGATTGTGCATATTAATGAGATTCAGTGTTTATTTCAGCATTTGTATATTGTCTACACTGATCAGATCAAGGTAGTTAGCATTTCCCTTTTCTTGTCATGAAATAATCATTTTATTTCTTTATTTTTTTTTGGTTTTGAGGATTGAACCAACAGGCACTTTACCACTGAGGTCTCATTAAGATTCTGAGGCTGGCTTTGAACTTGCAGCATTCTTGCCTCAGCCTCTTGAGTTGCTGGAATTACAGATCTGCACTACTACACCCAGCTGAGATAATAATTTTAAATTAATTTTTTTCATACCTTTTTCACAAGTGTTTTTTTTTTAACCCAAGACAGTTGTTGCATTGCTTTTAACATACATTGTCAAAGCTATTAATTAAATACAATTGTGAAATAAATATTGTGTTTAAAATATGAATGGAACCACTGCTGCAAAATGTGAGAAGCTTGTGTTTTTTTATATATATAAAATCTGTCTTTTAGGTCTAGTCATCAGATTTACTGATCTTTTCATGGAGTTTGGGAGTTTGAGAGTTTAACTTCCAGGACCATATATACATCATTTGTCTTCCAAATACATATATTTAATGATATCCTTGTATAATATTTTTTTGATTAGAAAATTGAGTTTGTATTCTTCTGATGTTGTTTCTGTGATCATTGGTTTGTCCTGTCTAGTGACCATGACTCTCTTCTCTTCCAGGTTGTTTTTGAGCACCTTCACTTTAGCAGTTTCAGCTGGGGCTGTTTTGCTTTTACCCTTCTCAATAATCAGCAATGAAATCCTGCTTTCTTTTCCTCAAAACTACTATATTCAGTGGCTAAATGGCTCCCTGATTCATGGTTAGTATATATTGCTTAGTATAATCATTATTAACATTTTAATTTCTTACTACATTGTATTTTTAAATTTTTCTTTTCTTAGTTTCCTTCATAATTTGTAACTTTCTCTAGTAAATCATTAGGATCCTTAGTAAATCAGAAAAGTGGATTTTACTTACCATTCTTGTTTTTTAGCTGTGAAAGGCTTTTCTCTCTTATTTAATCTAAAAGCAGTTTTAATATTCATTGTGATTTTGATAAAATATCTTTATTTAAATATTTAGGAAGAAAAATTTGATTCAACTGGTTATGTTGAATTTTCATTGAAAACCTGAAAAATCAGGGACCATAGTCTGTTTTATTTATTTTCTATTAGTTTCCTTTGTCATTTCAAAATATATGATGGAAGGGGGAAAACACACTGTATCAAGTATAAACTTTGTGATTTAAAAAAGTAATGACTGACTTAATATGGATAATAAGATATATTGCTGTGAAGGGAAGTAGACTTGCATTCCAACTTTGGTCAGCCATTTTCTAGCATACCCTGGGCATTATGGTTTGGATGTAAAACGTCCCACGAGCTCCTGTGTAAGACACTGAAAGGATGTTCCAAGATGGAGTGATTAGATTATGAGAGCTGTGACCAAATCCACTGGTGTGGATTAACTGGGTGGTGACTTCAGGAATGAAGGGTAGGGTATGGCTAGAGGAGGTGGTCACTGGGGGCATGCTTTTGGGTTTAATATTTTGTCCCTGTGAGGATCTCCCCCCCATCCCGCTTCCTGATTGCCATGTCTGAGCTGTTTTTCTCCCCTGTACCCTTCCACATTAGAGTTGGCTGTCTGTGGACTGAGACCTCTGAAACTGTGAGCCAAAATAAACTTCTCCTTGTCTAAGTTGTTCTTTCTTTGTCACTAGAGTTTGAACCCAGGAGTGCTTATCTGATGAGGCATATCCCCACCCCTTTTTATTATTGTGTTTTAAGACAGGATCTTGGTAAGTTGCTCAGGGCCTTGATAAGTTGCTGAGGCTTTAAACTTGTGATCTTCCTACCTCAGCCTCCCAAGCTCAAAGTTGTTCTTGTTGGGTATTTTGGTTACAGCGAGGAAAAACTAAAACACTGGGAAAGTCATAGTTATTGTCTGACTTGTTTTCTATTCTCTTAGTTAGGATGATAAATAAGATCTATCTTGCAGGCTTGAGTTTAGAAATATAACTAATGTAAAATACCTGTCTCTTAATTGGTGCTATAGGTTATTTAGACTGTGTCTTCTCTCTCTCTGTCTCTCTCTTTCTCTTTCTCTCTTTCTCAAGGTGGTGTTGGGGATGGAACCCGGGCCTTCAGCATACTAGGCAAGTGCTCTACCTCTGAGCTACATCCTCATCTCTCTCTCTCTCTCTCTGTTCTTCCTAAAGAGACTTACTGTTTTTTATATATTAATTTAGTGTAGGTACACTAAACTGTTTTCTCTCCTAGAACGTGCTGGTATAATTCTTTTATAATTGTCTCTTAGAATTCATTAATGTTCTTAGAGATTTTGATATTTTTCTTCTTTATCCCACTCATACCTCCTCCATTTATTAGTAGTATTTTTTTTTTTAATTTTTTTAGTTGTAAATGGACACAATACCTTTATTTTATTTTATTACATTTATTTTTATGTGGTGCTGAGGATCAAACCCAATGCCTCACACACACATCCTGGGAAAGTGCTCTACTACTGACCTACAATCCCAGCCCCAACGTTATTTTTTGTTACTAGTTATTGTAAGTGTTGTTTTATTGGTGTCATTAGTTGTTGGTTATTAGTGTTAACACTTATTTTCTTATAGAGATAATGTAATTCGATAGTTATATGGTGGGTTAGATACATTCTTTATGAAAACCAAATGCATGTAACAGAATTAGGGCACCTCATTTTCAGGTGTTTTAGTGTGGAGTCAAATTTCCCCCCATCCTGATGAAGTAGCACTTTGAAATTATTGAAGAGTGTCTTCTTATGAAATAATATCTTTTTTAAAAAAATAATTTTGTTATATTTATGTGGTGCTAAGAATTGAACCCAGTGCCTCACACGTGCCAGGCAAGTGCTCTACTATTGAGCCACACCCCAGTTTAGGAAATAGTATCTTGACCAGTATTTGCTGCATGTTTGAATTCCTTCATGCCATGTTTAAGGTAAAACATGACTTTTTCTTACCAAGGAGCCTTCTTTTGAGTTAATGGTAGAATGTCCTTCTTTAATAACATGCAGCTGACCTGCCATTGGACTAGAAATAGATGTATCAGAGATGGCTTCTCTCCATTAAATATATGGTATTGGCCAGTGCATTTGAAGCTCCCAAGTGGACATACACCTTGGGATAACTTGCCTTGTAATATTATCATGATAACTGCTAGTGGACATACACCTTGGGATAACTTGCCTTGTAATATTATCATGATAATCCTTATGCAACAACTGAAATACCTCTTGCATGCCTTAAATTGCTGCAACTTCTCTTTTAGCTGTTATCATGTTCTTTGTAACTAATGCAAAAGAAAAGAACAGAGTAAAATGTAAGAGATCCACTAGTTTACCAGTTTAATGTATGAGATGAGTAAATTTGAGAAAATACAGAATGTTTGAGGAAGTACAGAGCGTACCTTTTGTAGATGAGGTTCCTTCAGCATTCCCTTAGCTGTTGCCGTGACTCAGGCCCTGCATGTTAAGAACATCAAGAGCAACAATGGCTTCTTTCTGACTTTTTTCCTGAACATAAAAGTAGTATTTGTTCACTATAGAAGGATGGAAAATAGGGAACGGTTCAAAGAAGAAGATAAAGCCCACTCTTTCTCAGTGTATCTGTGTGTGTGTGTGTGTGTGTGTGTGTGTGAGTGTGTGTGTGTGTGTGTGTGTGTGTCACGTGGCACATGCCATTCACATCTTTTCAAGCATTACTATCACATTGTGAATGTTTTCCATGCCATTTGATGGTCTTGAAAGCACTGGCTGGCTTTCTTCTCTTCATGGGGCACAAAGATATAAAAACTTCAGGTACATGTATAATTTGTTCCATGTATTTTGTCCTTTTCTATTTTGTCCTTTTCTATTTTGTTTTCATATTGATTTATGTGATCTTTTTGTATATTGATGTGAAACACATTTACTATTTAATTATATTGACTAATTATTATTTAATTTCCATGAATATATTTTTTGGTTGTTTTAATTTTGCTTTTTAAATTTATTTGCTCTTTTGAGTTTCAGAATTTTATATTTTATGTTATCTGGTCCTTTTCTTCTTAAGAATTTTTAATTTTTATTTACTTATTTATTTATTTATATTTATTTTTTTAAAAAATAAATGACAGCTGAATGTATTACAATTCTTATTATACGTATACAGCACAATTTTTCATATCTCTGGTTGTATATAAAGTATGTTGACACCAATTCGTGTCTTCATACATGTACTTTGGATAATGATGTCTATCACATTCCACCATCCTTGCTAATTCCCTGCCCTCTCCCTTTCCCTCTTACCCCTCTGCCCTATCTAGAATTCATCTATTCCTCCATGCTCCTCCTCCCTACCCCACTATGAGTCAGCCTCCTTATATCAGAGAAAACATTTTGGCATTTATTTTTTTTAGGGATTGGCTAAATTCACTTAACATGATCTTCTCCAATGCCATCCATTTACCTGCAAATGCCATGATTTTGTTCTCTTTTATTGCTGAGTAAAATTCCATTGTGTATATATGCCACATTTTTTTTTATCCATCCACTGAAGGGCATCTAGGTTGGCTCCACAGTTTAGCTATTGTGAACTATGCTGCTATAAACATTGATGTGGCTGTGTCCCTGCTGTTTTTAAGTCTTTTGGGTATAGACCGAGGAGAGGGGTAGCTGGGTCAAATGGTAGTTCCATTCCCAGATTTTCAAGGAATCTCCATACTGCTTTCCATATTGGCTGCACCAATTTGCAGTCCCACCAGCAGTGTCTGAGTGTACCTAGAAAAATAAGAGACCCAGAATAGCTAAAGCAATCCTTAGGAGGAAGAATGAAGCAGGTGGCATCACTGTACCAGACCTTAAACTATACTACAGAGCAATAGTAACAAAAACAGCACGGTATTGGCACCAAAACAGACTGGTAGACCAATGGTACAGAATAGAGGACACAGAGACTAACCCACAAAATTACAATTATCTTATATTAGACAAAGGTGTCAAAAACATGCATTGGAGAAAGGATAGTATCTTCAATAAATGGTTCTGGGAAAACTGGAAATCTATATGCAACAAAATGAAATTAAACTGCTATCTCTCACCATGCACAAAACTAACTCAAAGTGGATCAAGAACCTGGGATTTAAACCAGAGACTCTGAGTCTAATAGAAGAAAAAGTAGGCCCTAATCTTCATCATGTGGGATTAGGCCCCAACTTCTTTAATAAGACTCCTATAGCGCAAGAATTAAAACTAAGAATCAAGAAATGGGATGGTCCTTTTCTTCCTTTGGTTTCTCTAACTAATTTTGATTTTAGAAAATCCTTTCTCATGCTGAGATGTGACAAATATGCACTTTTTTCTTTTTCTCTATTTTTTAAATGGTTTTCTTTGTACTTATCTGTTATTCCCTCTGGCATTTATATGGGTAACTACCTTTTCTCTAGTCCCTTTCCCAAAGTTAGCTCATTTTCCCAGTATCATCAATTGAATATATTTTTATCTGCTTGTCTAGAAATACTCTAGATTTGGTAAATTATTACATAGGGTTTTGTTTTAGGGCTTGGGTACACAGATTTTGGAGTCAGATAGATCTGTGTTTGAATTTCAACTTTGTATTTTACTAGAAGTAACCTTGTTGAATTTGTTTAAGCTTTCACAGTTTCAGTATTTTATCTGTCAAAGGAATAGAAAGATCTAATTTTAAAATAAGATATATGGACTATATATACAGCATAAAAATATCTATCTAGTCAGATGGTACAGAGTAAGCTTGAAAAAATAAGTGCTGAGTTTTAATTC